CAGAAGAACACGGCATCGAGTGGGTCTACCATATCCCCTACCACGCACCAGCCTCTGGGAAGATCGAGCGCTACAATGGACTTAAAAACCACATTGAAAGCACTGGGAGGTGGCACCTTCAAAGACTGGGACATGCATCTAGCAAAGGCCACCTGGCTCGTCAACACAAGAGGATCTGCCAGTCGAGCTGGCCCGGCTCAGTCAAAACTTCCACGTGCTGTAGGTGGGGATAAAGTCCCTGTGGTGCGCATGAGGAATATATTGGGAAAAATGGTCTGGTTTAGTCCTGCGCCAGGCAAAGGTAAAGGCAAACCCATCCACAGGATTGCTTTTGCTCAAGGACCTGGGTGCACCTGGTGGGTGATGCAGGACAATGGGGAGGTCCGATGCGTACCACAGGGGGACTTGATTCTGGGTGAGAACATGCCGTAAATTATGATGTGCCTTTGTAAATTGTTATTTTGTTATTGCTAACCGCTAAATGGCAGCTAGACATGATGCAGATGGTATAGAATAAAGGGGTGGATTATGTCCTGGTTCAGCTAGGATAGGGTTAAGTTTCCCCAGCAGAGAGGAGGAAGGGATCTCCAGCCGGGTTATTCATACCATGCTGATGTCAGGTCCAGCGCGGCAGCGTGGGAACCTTTTTCCTTTGCGGCTTTGGTCCCACAGAGCACGTGCGGTGGGCTGGCTGTGTTCACTGCAGTATTACTCTGTATATCTTTTGTCTTGCTTATTGTTATTACTGGTGGTTGTTGTTGTTATCACCATTGTTGTTGTTCCAATTGTTTATTACACTGTTCTATTAAATTTCTTCTTATTTTAACACGGGGTTTGTGCCCTACTTGTGTCTGAGGGTGGGGGAGGGACAACAGCAACGTGGTCTCCAGTCCCAGCAGGGCTTAAAACCATCACAGTTAGTATGCAACATAATATACAGCTTGCTTTTTGCTTGTTATTTATTTTTAGTGGATGATGGGAAAAGTGAGACTAGCGGACATCATACAACCTGACAACACAAATAAGCCCCTGAGAAAACCAGCTGGCAAACAAAAAGCCCATGTACAGCATAAATACAAATTCTTCAGGAAAATGCCAAATTCTAAGGGCAGAGTTTTTCACACCCTGAACTCACAGACATACTTACATTTATTGTGGGTTAGAGAATTTTGCAGAAAGTCTGTGTCACAGCCTATTAATGGCTTTGGCAGAAGTAGACTTGTACTAGAGACATCATAAAGCCAGATGGCAGAAACTCTGATGATTAATAATTTCACAGCAACAACCAAAACCAGATTTCATTAATATAAACCACTGAGGGTTTTATTTACTATTATTTCTAATCGAATTTATTAGAAATAATGTTCCCTATTAATGAATAATGCAGTTCATAGACTGTCACATGGATGAAGTTACAAACCTTTTCAAAACTACTCATGCAAAATCTGCACAAGTTCAGTAACGGTCAATGGTTCAGGAGGATCCCCAGAGGAGCATGTTAGAATACTCCTGCACAAGACAGTAGAAATTGGGAATGCAGAGCTGAAAGCTATAGAAAAACAGAAGCTGAATTGTCCTCTATGTGTGAGGACTGTGGCTACAGAAAATCTGTGTTTCCTTTGTTCTTTCAGGTCCCAATTCCCATGTCAAGTCACATTGTGCTCAGGGTAGGATCTAAGAGTTAAAGTCAGTAAGTCACCCTTTTATTTGATTTTCTATTTTCAGGCTGCTGTGAAAGCGTGTAATTTAGAGCAAGGAGTTTTGGATATGGTTCAGACTACCTTTTGCTTAAACTTCCAATAATGGTGGAACTGCCTCACTAGAAATAACATCACAAGTTTTTTATAAGTATTATTAAATGCCAAAGGATGAGAATTTTAGCCATGAAAACACTTGATGTTTGAACTGACATTCTCTCCCAATCTGTTGCATACAACTAAAACCAAGGGACAGCCTTGACTAGGGAAGAAGCAATTTAGGGCATTACAATGTCATTTTCATTGTCAGACATGTCTGTCTGTCTCCCTATGCAATACACCATTTGCACTTCCCATATTGTAATAAAAATTATGTATATTGAGGTATTTAATAGTCAATCATATAGGAGAAAGTATATACTCCAGTAGGAGACTGGCAGCTTTCTCAGCAAGTTTCACAGACACAGAAATGAGTGAGAATGAAAAAGAGCATTTTGCTTTCATGTAAAAGATCATCAAATGCTCTGTTCAGTATCTCACTGGAAATTTATTCAGCACCACCCTTTGTCCCTGAAACTATCATATCCCAAACCAGCAGTTGCTGAAGACACAGCTGATAAAATGTCAGCCAGGGACCCCTGCATGGCATGGCCATTTGAGACACACACGCCATCAGCTAGAAGGTGGACAGAGGACAGACTGAGAACTCAGAAAGTTTAGAGATTAAGAATATGACAAGATTTCATTGGCCTTTCTATCACATCGGTTCTGAATTTGGCCACCAAACTTTGTCTCCTCACCATGATTTGCCCACTGTCCAACTCAGACAGACAAGTCCTACCAAAGAGACTTTTATTTTCCCTGACCCCAATCAGTAAAAATGCTCTAGCTATGACTAAGCCTTACATTTCACATACAGGAAATGCATCTCCCATACCCTTACAGCTGCCTGTCCATCTGTGCAGGACTTTCCCATTACAGGCAAGCATTTCTGGCGAGAATAATTTAGTTGAGGAACAAACAACATTATATTGGTTTTGGCATTGGATAACCAAGGAGAATTGTTAGCATAATCTGTATGTATTGCACGCTGTCAGAGTCAGATGAGATGCTTTCATGTGCCTGATCCCTCATGCAAGCAAAGAACAGGACAGTGTAAGCAGGCAGTACTTTAATACCCAGGACCCAGATCAGATGTCTGAACTCTTCTGAAACTTGTTTGGAATTCAAAAGCAAATCTAAATTGTGGCTTTGTTTCCTAACTTACCACCAGTCCACAGTAAAACCCCAGATCTGAACAACACAAAACTGGTACATCCAAGTATGCTTCATCTATCCTGGCACTACAGAATTAGCACAACATGACTTACTGTATTTCTGAGTAAGACTTCAGAAGATTTGCTCACATGTGGCACAAAAGGCTGGACTTCATCCCAGGCCTGCCCAAAACCAGGAGCAACAGGAGGGCTAAAGGGCTCTGCTCCAGCAGACCTGCTTACTGCTGGTGTCTGCCTGCAGCTCAGGGACGGACTCTGAGGATGGCCACAAGCTGCACTGCCGTCTGCATCACTGTGAAGCAGAGCACAGGGCTTCATGGCACAAACGCCTCCAGATGCCACGGCAGCTCTTAGTCATGTGAAACCCTTCCTGGGACTGGGCTTAACTGCCATGCCTCCAGTAAACTAAAGCCAGAGCACTGCCCTGCACCTTAAGAGATTCGTTAGTGAGCAAAGCAGAATTCAATTTCTGTTGGATCTTATTGAGTTAAAGCAATCCCAAATGACTTGAAATTTTTCAAACATTGTTTTTTCATCCTTAATTTTCAGACAGATAATGAAATTAGAAATGTGATATGATATTTCAAGTGAAGTGAACCAGCAGACAGAACTTCTTTCCTCCTCTCAACTAGTGGTATTGGGCTCACTCCTGCGAATTGTACAGTTAGATATGCAAATATGCATACTCAAAATTTTCATTTGCGTTGCCATGCTTCTATTCATAGTCATGGCAAACATGTATTCCAGTGACCAGTTAGATTTTGAGCTGGCTCATTGTGCATAAAATCTCAGAAACTACCAGAGAAAATTAAGCGTGCATTTCTGTGTATGCAGACATGGGCATGCAATTCCAAAAGTCTGTGTCTGTATGACCTGCTAGTGTCTGTATGTTTGACTAGCTTGTAAGAATCATTATGTCTCTGCCATCTACATCCATGCTTACTTTACCTATAAGCCTACAGTTTGAATTGCAGGTTATTTAGGACTTTGCGAAGGCGCAGGGAAAGCATCACTGGTGCAACCGTGTATCTCATTTCCAGCATGCAAAATACTGTATCTGCGATGACGAACACAGTAGCCCACAGGCTGAGGCTACCAAAATTTAGTGTGTTTTGCAATTCCCATTAATTATTTTGCAGCCTTTTCTTTGAATATTTACTGTGAAGTCTAGGGACATTTGTACTTCTTACAGCCATATGTCCAGACAACACAAAACATTTTTTAAAAATGCCCACAGTTTGTTTACATTTCACTTTAGTCTAGAAATGCAGAGAGCTCATGTTTAGATTTTATCAAGAAAAGAGATAGCAAATGTCAAACAAAGATAGTACCTGAAAGGAAATAAAACAAATAATTCAAAATATTTCTTTAAAAAGTTACAAAATATGACAGCATTAATGGCACTTAAAGCTATAAGCACTTAAAAGATTACCACCATATTTTTCTCAACGTCTTTTCCTAAATTTCTTCTTTTTTTCTGATATGACTGCAGCTCATGTCTAAACCCAAACCCATTAAAAGGGGTAGAGAGCCCTGAGATTCTATGGCTGCCCTGGCCCTCAACTGAATAGCGTATATACTCTTATGTCTATTTTTAAAAATTCAGATTTAGCTACAGAGAACAGCAGTTTGCTGACATGCAAAAGCTATAGCTTTCCTTCTGTCTTCATAGTCTTACAGCATTAATATTGAAGGGTTTTTTTCAGTGGTAGAAAGTGTGAATGAGAAATTATTTTTAAAAAAACAGTTGGCCCACTGTTTTATACACCTAGCCAAATACCATTAAATTAATGTTTCTCTTCTTTTAAACAACATAGCATGAGATGTTGCACTTTCTTCATATGCACTTTCTTGCTGTGAGTTTACATTGAATATTTCCTACATGGGAAAAAAAAATCCATTTGTTTCTTTTCCTTTTTTTTTTTTTGTCACTTGTTAATATAAATACCCACAGAGTTTTTTTCTTTTCTTTTTTTCTTTTTTTTTTTTTTAATGAAAAGAGCAATCTGACCCTTAAATATGTCTGTATTGATTTTTCAAACCAGCATCTAGCTGGTAGCTGTGTCCATGGACATTCTTTTGGAGTTTAGAAAGATAATGCATCTGATTCAAAAATGGAAGGAAAAAAAAAAAAAAAAATCTAGCTTGGATCACGTGCCAAAACGTAAACTAAGCCTTACTGAAAGTTTCTAGTTCACTCCAATCATTTCTCCTCTTTTTAATCACCAGGGGAAGGCTTTAATGAATGCATACTCCATTACAAAGATACACTTTTTTCATCCCTTTCAAACGCTCTTCTTACATAGCTGCCCTTTGTCTAATATTATGTGATGGTAGGAGCACTCTGGCAATATTGCCATGGTTCAGTCTCTTCCTTTGTGTCTTGCCCTGGTAATCTTATACAGGCTGAAAATTCCATGTGCGTAGCTTTCTGTTGCCATTCTGCAGTGCTGTGTTCCTGAATTGTTTTGGCAGAGCAAGCTTGAGTCTTTATGGCACAGTGAAATATTCTTCGATGCTATATAATTCAGACTGAATAAGGAGTCTGTATAAGGCACGTGTCTCAATATATATATGTATATAAAACCAGTAACATTGTTAATTCAAGTCAAGCATCTTTTACATTTAATTTCTGTCTTCAAGTAATGCTTTGTTTTCATGTTCCCTTTCTTTGGTTTCATTGGGGATCACTCCATTCTCCAGGTCTGAGTGCTGCTGGATGCAGTTGGTCAAGACTGCAGTGCTAGAAGAGTTCTCAGAATTACACATCTTCTCTGTCTCCTCTTCCTTTTTTTCTTCATCCAAGGAGTAGTTTCGGAAGGTCTCATAAATTTTACGCACGTCTTCAGGGATGGTCTTTTTGAGGTCTTTGTTTTTCCTTTTGGTCATTTTAGCAGACGATCCAAACTTGTTAATGATGTTGTCCTCAGATGCTCCCTGCCCATGCTTGTTGAGCTGATCTGACCCTTTAAGGCGCAGGTTGTTAGGTCTGTTGTTGATGCTTTCCTGAGATGAGGCTTTGAAGCGTCCTGTTTCCAAGGCAGTGAAGACAGAGCGCTTCTCTGGAGAGAGCATGTCTAAGGAGTGGGCTCGCTGGTCCAGGCCCAGGCGCCTGCGCTCCATGCTCCGGATGGTGGCTGCCCGCTGAAGCTTGTCGTGAATTTCCACACTGAGCCGCCTCCGTGTCTCTCTGAACTCAGCTGTCACATTCGCTTTCCACTCAGCTGCATGGGCTTTTATTTCTCCAACCTTTACAACAACAAGAAAGAGAAATAAGTTTCAAAAAAGAAAAAGCAAAATGAAGTAACAATCTTTCCTATGGAAGAGTAGCACAAGCATTTTCTCGTCTGGTGTAGAATCAGAGAACGGTTGCAGCTCCAGTGCATACATCTGGACGCAAGCTTCAGCAGGAAAGTGGGTATGCTGGGCAAGCTCTAAATACACCAACTAGTGACTAACTAATGGTTTGTGTGACATATAAGCTATTTGCCTATTTCACATTTTGCCACCCTGCACACTTTACAGCTTGATACATGATGGGAGGTGTTCGTGCTAATCCCTCCTTGGTTAAAAAACAAGTTCCTGACTTATAATGTCAGTGATAGATGGTCAGGAGTGAGCAAAATTAATCACATATAGTTACACCAATATGCCTCAGAACAGCACAATAACCACTGTAGCAATACAGTAATGTATTTTCCCATATTGCTTATGGTTGGAGCTGTTCAGTCCCACTGAAGGTTCTGTTCAGTGCCACAATACCTATTAGATAATTTCAAGTGGACCTCTCACTGATCCAGTCTAGGGTTAATTCTCAGGGACCAAATGTAGCAGTCTTTAATGGAGGTTTCCATTGCATAACTGTCCAAATACCATCCTCTCAAGCCAGCTGGAGGAGTTGTCAACACATATTCTGTGTGGGCACCATCAGCATGTCCTTAAATGTCTCACTGCTTTGCTCTGTTTTACTCCTTTGCACCTGAGAGCAGAATAATGGCTAAGCATAAAGCACCTACATGGATGCTATATTGAATAAATATTTCTTCCAAAATGAGAAAAAAAAAAAAAAAAAGATAAATGACCAATCAGTATCTCAGTCAACACAGGCCTTTTCCAAAGTTTGACTAAAGGAGAACAGATTCAGGAGTACAATATCTGGAAGAGCTCACCAAGGTCAATAGATTTCTTGGGCTGTTGTAGTTTCTGCATTCAGTGATCCACAAGAAAGTGATCTTTGGTTCCTCAGGCCAGATGAACAGACGAGCAGATGTCCATTTAGAACTGTATTACTTGTGGCAGGAGGCATCTCACATTCACCATTGAAAGATCAGATTCCCACCTATAGGTGCCTGCTGATGCTCAACCTGGCAGCCAGACTCTCTGTGAAGCCCCTTTTATTCATGGAGATGGGCATGCACTGGGCCTCAGGTAGCACAGATGCTTTCATGAATGATAAACAGCAGTACCCCCCTGCCAAACTTTGTCTATGCCTGCTCTTAGGATAACTCTGACAGGTCAGCTTTGCTAGTAATGCATGATGAGATTGCCTTAAAAATTGAAATTATATTTTTAATGTCCTGCACAACCAGCTTCAGCTCTAGAGTCATGGTAATTGCCTTCTACTTTCCACTCTTCTTTGAGTGAAGCATTAGTGATACTGTCTTTGAATCATGGAGGGCATGTTCTGCGTGAATTTCATCATGTTCTCCCTGATGCTGACTAAGTTTCTTTAATTTTTAATAATATGGTACTCGGTAAGGGGCCTGAATTTAAACTCTTATTCAGAACTATATTCCCTGACATAGGGAAAGGTGGGAAAACTCCATACAATCCCCTGGTTTAAAGGCAGATTCTTGTTTCATAATGAAGAGAGCCAATCAATGTCTTCAAAACCTATGCATCTCTGATTTTTAAAGAGAGAACACTGAAATTTTTATCACAATTTTGTAGCTAGTTTTAGAGTGAAGGCTGGCCTTTCTTATTCCATAATTGCAATCTTACAGATATGTTCTGTTATTTGGTAGTACTGATAGAGTTTTAACAACCTAGGTTGCTTCAGTTGCTTTTTTTTTCCTCCTTTTGTGAAGGAGCAGAGTCAACTGGATACCAAAGGCAGCCAGTGGAGTAAACCACAGGGAATACTGAGCATTTGTCATGCAGAGGAGCAACCTTCTTTAGATAAGCAGGAACAGGCACTTAAAGTTCTCTTACAAAACGGCAAACCACTGAGAATTTACTAGTCATACCTCTTCTTTTGTCTTCTTGGACAGGACTCTTAACCAGTCTCCAATCATACTCAGGACAGCAGCAAAATAGGCAAGGCCAACAAGGATCCAGAACCACACTAAGGGTTTATACCACTCTCGGTAATGGATGTCAGCATTTCCTCCTAAAATAAGCATATACTTATGCTTAGGAATCATGAGATGCCAAAATTATGACAAAATATCTGCAATTCTGAGAAATTCCTGAAAGTGTTTCTTTACTCTTACCAACACCACTGTAATTCTAATAATAGATGAGAGGCTTGTCAGAATGGGAAGAACACAGTCTTTTCTTAATTTAAGACTCTTTAAAATTACCTATTGTTCTGCTGCTATGTGACCTGTCAGAGCACATAGTAAACACTTTATATCACTCACTCTGAAATAAGTCTGAAATTCCTGCTTTGACAGTACTTGCAACAGCATGAACACATTTCCAAGAAAAAAGTTCAATACAGCTAGACTTTCTTATTCAGAAATGCTTGCAGCCTGGTAGTTGAGAAACTTTACAGTTAAATCCCCTCACTTTATAGAGTTTCCAGATTTTTGGGGGGTTTAACTACAGGATCCAGAGACCTATGTGCAGGAGAAAGAAAAGTAGCTTTGTCTTCCCCTCCAGATTAGGATATCTGAGAGGAAGCCAACCCCACATCAGACTGATAATAAGGGTATACCATTTGCTTGGGTATCAGTTATAGGTATGCATTCTCTGGTCAGTGACTTGAGGGAAGGTACTGATCAAATGAAGCTACAAATATCCTATACTGATTTCATGCAAGTTTTAGGATGAGCTTGTAAAACAAGTATGTGAGACATTTGGCAACTTCAGTGAACTACGAAGAGCCTAAAATAAATGCAGTAGCAGCCAGGCTGCTACCTACCACAGAATAAACTTTTCCAAAAGAAAGAAACCGCAATCACACTTTTGATACTCTTAGTCCTATGACAATGCTATATGCACTGATGAGAGACAGTGAGAGACGGGCACAGCATTGAGATTAAGAGAGTGGCAAAGAGGCTGCACAGCCACATCCCTCAGTGCAGGTGAAGAAACACCACCCTTGGTGGTACCTGTGTAAATCTCTGCCTGAAGAGCAACCCTACCAGGGGACTTGGGCAGAAGATTGCATAATACCTGGATTCCAGTCTTGGTTAGATGAAAGCTAGACACCAGATTGTACCTCTGTATGTTTACAGAGATCTTTACGGATTTTCCCCCATTGAAATCACCAGACAACACAGTTCAGCATATCCCCTGGAGTTTTTTGCAATTTGAGATATTCCTACAACTCTTTAATTTTATCCAGACTCAGTATGAGTGTACGTACAGTGATTGAACATCCCTGTGGAAGCTCAGACATTTGAGAATTGGCAGGGACCCGAATATTGGTGTTGATATTAATCACTCCCCATACACCACATGAATCAATCTCTTTTTTCCAGCCTTTAAAAGTGGGAAACAATGGGAGGTGGAGGCTGCTGTTGCTATGGTACAACGAGGCTCTTCTGATCATACGTGTCCCTGAGGAAGCTTGCTATGAAGTAGATTGTCGAGGTCTGTCTTATGGAGTAATCAGGCGACTGAGAAATTATGAGACCACTTTTTTCAGCCTATCAGATATTCTGTTTTTTCAGGCTCCATCCACAGTTGTATTTCTAACAGTAATACAAAAACTTTCCCAGTTTGGCATGAGCTGGGACACATTCCAGGTGGAATAAATCAGCATAGCTCCATTGAGGCGGTTTTACTGAATGCAATGTAGTATTTTCCCTTTGATGATAAAAGGAACAGAGATACAGAAAGTTTAAAGTGACAGAGAATAAAAGTGACAGAAAATCTGTCCAAAAACCAGCAATGAAACCCAAATCTCCTGGTGATCACCTGCCTTAAACTCCTCTCATGACATCACCTCTGAAGTTTTCTCATTCAGGGTCCTCCATTTGATTTTTGAAAAATCCTGGTTGTAGTAACCACCCAGATGTGGATTATATTCTTCTAATCACGTTGGATTTAGAACAATTTAATATTCAGAACTTTTGTAGTATTATATTATTAAATAAAACAATAACAAAGTGTGATATGCTTAAGAAAAATATGGTGAATTATTTTTATTCCACACTGTGATACCACAAAGACAGAATATCAGTGAACTTCTCCTCACATTCTGTGGTTAAAACAGACCAAGCTCATACAATTACTTTTGTATCTGCTTATAAAATGCTTCTTTTTCATATCTGGGGCTCTCTTTCTTTGGTGCCTTTTTTCCTCAGTAATTCATGTCTTCTATGCCACTATGTCATAAAAAAGCAGAAGATCACAGTCTCGTCTACAAAAAGACTTGTCTACAGCTCTTCAGCAAAGAAAATGTTATATATCCCTGTGGTCTCATTTGATGTTTTTAACACATTCATATTTGACTGATTTATAGAAAGTAACAAAACAGTAGCATAATATGGCTGATTGTAACACAGGTATCTTAATGCCTTCAATTAGGACCACTAATAGGAATGAGGTGTAGGGGTCATGCACTAATGGGAAAAAAAATCCACTTATTTTATCCACCTTTTTGTTAGCAAAGCAGTAGAGTGGAAAAAAAAAATCTCCAGACAACAGTTGTAACTCCCTCTTTGGAAATTGATAAGGATGGATATTTATAGTTCCTGCCAGTACTGTATTAATCTTGGAGAGCATTCTAGCACTGAGATGCATACCTCATTAATCCTTCTCTGTCTACATCTGTTTTCCTTAACAGGTCAACTGCAATGTCTAAAATTCTGCAAAGGTTAGAGAACAAAATGCAGCTTCTGAAATTCTGCAGCTCCTATAGTAGCAGCCCACTACTGCATCCAACCAGAGATTTCTCCAGCCTTATGGTTCAGTCCTACTTTGTAAAAGCTTCATCTATTCATCATTTTGGCAACTTGCTTCAGCTATCAGCCTCAGATTGAGCCCTAATGGACTAATACAAATCTTTAATTCAATGGGAAAGTCATTTGGCTTGTGCATAATTCATTGCACGATAAAGAATAATCAGGACTTCCCAGGCTCACATTATCTACACTTCTGAAAGCTTGCAATCTGCAGATGGCAAGACACCTGGATCTTAAATCAACCTGGTGTCCTATTGCACAGTAGCCCCAACAGAAACACCTGGCATCATTTCACTGGAATATAATACACTGTGAAAAGCCTCCTCTCTACACCAGAAAACAAATTCTAAGAGCCAAGGCCCACATGCACAGCACCTAGGCTCAAAGCTGCTCACCTGCTACAAAGTCACCGAAGCCAACAGTAGTCAGAGTGACAACCACAAAGTAGATGGACTCCAAGGCTGTCCAGCCCTCGATGTGTTTGAAGATAACTGCAGGAATGGTCACAAAAACAATGCAGCCTGCCAGGATGAAGAGGATGGTAGAGATCACCCGGATCTTTGTTTGACTCACTTGCTTTTTCTAGAAAAAATAAACAACAAAATAAAACAAGTATTTTTGAGTGGATTTCTGGGATTGTGAGTACCTTGTGAATGGCAGACTGATCGTGCTGGTGTCACCTGTGTTTCTCTTTCTGTCTTTCGTGGGCTTATTAGGTAGAAAACAACCCTTCCTCCCCATTAGTGAGAGCCCTCCATGGATAATAGCGAACCTCTACATCTGGCCCCAGAAAAATGGAGATTCCCATTTTCCATGCACTAGGCAGTTACTAACCTACCAGAAACACATCCTGGAAAAAGAGTCCTGAGCTTCAGAAAGGTTCCAGTACCCTCCAGTTTGGGTTCAATGTGCAAGAAAAAGTGCACATTCACACCTCCATACACATGTATGTGTACCCACATTGTTCCACCAGCCCCAGGCATTCAGCAAGCAAGATGAAGACTGAAATGAAAACAAACCCTTTTTCCTCTAAAACCCTGAGATTTTATATAGAAATAATTCATGCTTCAGGTTTTCTAGACTTTCTTTGACTCAGGATTTCCAGCTTTCATTCACAAATACGAAGGTTAAATCTCCTTTTCAAAAATAGATAGCTATACTGTTGTTTCACTCCAGAAATAAAGGAATTATGTCAAATACCAAACAACCTGAGATAAAATTGCCTATGCAAATCTATAATGGAAAGCTCTTGAACAAAGAGTATGGGTGTTATGGGTTGCTATAAACTGAATACAAACATGAGCAGTGTAATTGCAACATTTTATACACCTAGATCATATAAACTCCCACTTTATTTAACACAAGCTTAGGCTTTTGTTTCCAGTAATACTGATGCAAGCCTGGATTAGCACAATTGATAGATGTATTTCAGATTTTCTATGCTGTAATCTCAAAATTCAGTAGATTCTAATGAGGAACCTGGAAATTACTAGAAATTTTACTGTGGATTAATTACAGTGGCAGTGTAAATTCTGTATTTATAGTGGGAAAGGAATGTGGAGGTCAACGTAAATCACATATTTCCAAATTAGTTTTCTAAATGAGGCATCTCCCTTAACCCAGAAATGAGATGTCGTTTCAGATTAGGACATTGCCTAGGCAGGAAATAAGGTCTCAGAAGTTATCTTTATAATATACAGACTGGCTATTGCCTCAACTCATTAATAACTAACCAGACTGTGAGCAGTACTACTGCTTCTATAAAAGCATGAGCATTTATTTTAGAGGTGCAATGTCTGACTCTCATTAGACATTAGGCCTGGTATGCTCTGCATTTAGAACCCAGGTAGCAGAATAAATACACCATATTTCAGAAACAGTTTTACAACTGGAACTGTTTGAGATCATCTCAATGCTTAGGGGTTTTTTTCTTATTTTGCGTGTGCATTGTTTTCTGTGAACAAAACCAGCTAAATAGGATTAGTAATATAATGCCATAAATAAGATTAATCAAATACAAAACATGGAAAAAACTTCCACTGAAGTACCAAAGAGAAAAGCAATACAATATAAAATCTGACTTGACTTCTTATTTCCTCTTTTCCTGGGGAACCATTTTGAGAAGTCTGCAAAAGTACTAAAGGATGATCTAGCTTCTTTAAGAGTTATGGACACACATTCACAATGGCAGGATTTCAGATTTACTCATGTGTAGTGAAGGGAAAGCAACTGATCACACGGATGCTACATGGTGTCTTGGATTGGCACACTTCCTTTTTGTCATGGAGGACCAGAATTCAACTGAGTTCTTATTTACTGGTTTGGCCAAGGTGATTTACTCACTTCTACTAAATGCTTCAGCTTCCTGGTACATAAAAATGAAATGGCAGACACCTCTCTACAGTGGAAGTTACAAAGCACATGCAGTGCTGTATAGTACTGGGAACCCTTGAACAAAAGGTACTTTGGAGCTGCCAAGCACTACTAGTAAGGCAAAGTTATGCATAGTAAACCTTCCTCCAGTCCCCATACAGCAACATTAAAATGCCTTTCAGTCTGTGTCCGGATTGTCTTATCTCATGGTTGAGACAAGAGCTCAATGAATGGCCTACAAATCAGTACCAGACGTTCAGGACATCCACTTATTCATGAGTGACAAATTCAGCCAAAGGTTGTTGGGTTTTTTAAGTAAAAATGGTAACAATGGTAATGAGAGGCTCTTCAGAAAGGCCTGACTCATGGTTATTGCACACCTCAGTCACTCCCACAACAGTGGAGCAGCTGAGGGTCTATTTTTCCTTACTCTTGCACTGGTGCAAAGCAAGTCAGAAATCAATGGTGAGTCAAGCACAGAATTTTTAGAGCTACTGGAAAGAGCACAAAAGCAGAATGAATTACTGGACAATGACACATGAATTCAGGATACAGGTAAAAAGGGGTTCTTTCTGCAGTTAGCTATGCATTCTGAGGACGTTCACAGTACAGTATAAACACTATTGATCCCAAAAATGCTAAGGCATAAATGGCATTATTCATGGAATATGTACATTGTAGTAATCACACATTACATAAAGGTTGCCTTGCATGTTTTCCTTTGTGGATGGAGTTGGCTTTGCTATTTTCCTATGAAGTGTAATTTTGTGATGACTAGTTTCTCAGGAATAAGGAAACACAGCTTTTACATTCCAGTTTTGGCATAGCTGTATTAAGACAAGACTAGATAAGCCTAAACCACTGCAGTATTACACTGTACCAAGTCATTATTAAAAGAAATATATACTAAAAGAAAATCTGGCTGAGAAATCTGAAAAGGTTCATACCTCAGACCTTTGATTTACAGAGTCTGAAAAACTAGGCTGGTATTTTTACAAGATAAAAAATACTCACAAATCCTTCAAAATAAGTTTTTTTCCTCAGGACAATATATTTCATGGCAATAGCCATTTTATGCCTTTTTGATACTTTTCCTCTCTTTTTCTAGCCTAATGCCCTGATTACCATGGTATAGAATGGGTTTCCCGCTTGCTTGCTGTCCTTGCCACCTGTCCTCGCTCCTCCTATCTGGCCTCCTCTTACCATGTAATAGGACTCCAGATAAACTCATCAAGTACTGCAGGTCATTACAGTGTAATACATCAGCCTGTCAAATAAGATATATCCAGTGTTCCCACAGTATACGAACTTCTAATAGCTTTGCAGAAAATGCTCTCCAGCTCTATGCTGGCTTTGCTAACAAACAAGAATTGCATTTAGGATTCTAACAATTAAGGAACTCTTTGTTTTAAATAGTATTTGCAATCTCAAGCCAAACACTGGCAAATAGCTGAGCAACTCCAGCCAGGCTACACATCCTCTGAGCCCATTTTGTGGCATAAATATAGAATTTTCTATAGGTGTCAAAATGAAACAGTAAGAGAGGCCTTTCTCCATGAATAGTAGTTCAATTCATAGTGGTTTAAGTAAAATGAAAATATTTTTGAAAGCAAAAATATTTTCTTTTAATTTTTTCTTACCAACATCCACATTGATGAAACAGATAATTTGTGAGACATTTATCAAATATAAATAAATTAGTAGCTGCTAATGAGAGAGGATTTAATTTAAATCCACCTAGAGATAATCTGGAAAAGATTAAAGGGGAAATATAAGAAGAAAAAATGGGGACTTTTTGATCATATAACAAGCCATGAGGGGTTATTTCCATTTACTAAGGTGCTGATTTTACTCCGAATGTGGTTAAGTGTTAAATAGGCAAATCACTGCATATGACACCATCTTGCTCATATTAATTCAAATAACCTGTGGTGGTTTAGGCCCTGCCGGGACCGGAGACCACGCTGCCGTTGTCCCTCCCCCACCCTCGGACCGAGTAGGGCACAAACCCTGGGATTGAAATAAGAAGAAATTTAATACAACAGTGTATAAAATAACAATCTGAACAACAACAATAGCAATAATAACAACAATAAATAGTAATAACAGTAAACAAGACAAAAGATATACAGAGAAATACCGCAGTGAACACAGCCAGCCCACCACGCGTACTCCCCGCGACCAAAGCCACAAAGGAAAAAGTTCCCGGCTGGAGATCCCTTCCCCCTCTCTGCTGGGGAAACTTAACCCTATCCTAGGTGAACCAGGACACAACATAATGTCAATCTGCTCCAGTGCCAAGAAGGGTGAGAACAGACATTCTCATGGAAATGTCCTTATCAGTGCAATTCAGTTCTTATGCATCTTTTCCATCAATGTGTGTGATTTTGTTTATCCTCTTCTATTACAGACACTGGGGTCTTATTGATTTTTGTCTTATCCAGTTATTTCAAGAATGAAAAGAAATCCCTTTTTCCTTTTTTTTTCTTTCTCTCTGCTCATTAACTCAGGCACAATTTTTCTGACCTGTTGACACCAAAAGGACCAAACAATGTGTCCAAGCTGAGGCAACCAGGATGATATATATTCCTTCCAAAACAGAGTAGATATTGTTTCTTCCAAGTAGAAGACTTTAAGCATGGAATAAAAAGATGGTAGATCCACTTTTTGGAATAGACTAAATGCTAAATATATGGAAGATATATATATATATAGTTTTTTTTTTTCCCACTAACAGCACATTTCAAATATGCATATTCCAAGATTTTGTAGTGTCACCTCCCATTTCACAGAAACTCTGCCAATATACAGTACTACACAACCAAAAATAGCACTGGAACATTTGCTGCTTCACAGTGAGCTCAGATGGTTCCTCTGTCTTCCAAACATTTTATTTTCTGAATTCCTGACAAATATCCCCAAGACTCCAAGCAAGTTGTTTACCTGTTTTGCTAGATGACCAATGGCATATTTCAGTGCTAGTATACTGTGCCTTCATTGAACATGCTGTCCTCATCTGTCTGCAAGGCTCCACATTTTGGAGCACGCCTCCAAAGAAAAGACATTTCTTCAACATTTCTTTTGTCCCCTTCATCTGCTCTTAACTTTATGCCCTCTCCATGCTGCCAGATTTTCTTGGAAAAGATTGTCTCTGACCATGCACTAATTAAACAGCTTGTCTTCTAAATCACTTTCTCCAGATCAAAATA